AAAAAAAGAAAAAAGGGGGGGGACATTTTTTCCCCACCCAAGCCCAGGAACTTTCAAATCGCGCGCCTGGAAGCAACCCCCCCTCCCCCAAAAGCACGTGGCCACCCGAGACCAGGGTGAGCGCGCCAACTTGCCCCTTCACACGTGCGTTTCCGAACACGCGGGGAAGGGGTGGGAAGGGGTGGGCCCTCCAGGGTTTAAGCGGGAAGGGCGGGGTAAGGAGTTTTTTCACTCCCCTTCCCCTCCCGGCTGAGGGAGAAGCTGCCCGGCTCCTTTTCCCGAGGCGGGGAGGGGCTGAAGGGCTGCGGAGCCCCCACACGCCCTTCCCTTGGCCCTTCCCTATCCTGAGGGGGGCAGCGCCCAAGCGAAGGCCCGCGGCCTCAGCCTCTGCAAAGGAGGTCCCTTCCTCCGCCGCTGGGCCTTCCTTTCCCGCGCCTCAGGCGTCCCGCGCTGAGGGCTGACTTACCAGGCTGATGGCGATGGCGGCGGCGGCGACGAGCGCAGCCCGAAGCCCCCCGAGCGCAGCCTCACTGTCTCTCTCTCTCTCTCCCCCTCTCGCTCGCCGCTTCGCCCGCCGGGCACCGCCTCTTCCGGCCACGCCCCCTCTCGGCGGCCTGGCGGGCGCGCGGATGAGCCCTTCGCCCGGACTGCTGGGAAGGCGAGTTTCTTCGCCGCTCAGCCTTCCGCCGACGAAAGGCGGGCACTACAGCTCCCGGCAAGCACTGCGCGAGGAGGGCGCCCGACCCGAAGGGGAGCTTAGGGAGGGAGTTCCAAAGGGCGAAGGAGGGATGGGAGGGGCGGATGGTGGTAGTGGTTGGGGGACGGCCTGGTTTAGACAGGGGGAGCCCAATTGATTAAGAAGGGGCCGAGCCTTGGCTCGGAGTAGGTCCGGCTTAGAATGTCCCGTCAGAAAGGACCAAAGCGGTACCAGATTCTGCAACAGCTTTGTTCCATCTACCAGGGGTCTCCAACCTTGGCAACTTTAAGAGCTTTGCTGGCTGAGGAATTCTGGGAGTTGAAGTCCACACGTCTTGAAGTTGCCAAGGTTGGAGACCCCTGAATGCCATCCATCTGGTAAACTTGCAAGATTCGCTTTTCTCGCCATGTACATGTATACATCCGAACTAGGCTTGTGTTGTTTCCCCGTGTCATATATGGGGGTTATATGCATAATTTTGTATTTATTTATTTTGCCGTGTTTATTATGCAGAGGTGGAGTCCCTTTGAGAGCTGTCGGCCACGAAATTTCATTTTAATATACACCAATTAGTGTACATTCAAAGTGACAAAGTTATTCTAAGTCAAAGGCAGTAGAAAATATCTGGGAAAAAGGTATTTGTTTTCCCGTGATTGCAAAAAAAATGTGCAAGCTATTTGCTTAATTGACTCCAGTGTAAAGATACTCCTCTACCTACAACCACAACTGAACCCAAAATTTCTGTGGGTGAGGGAGAGGCATTTGTTAAGTGAGTTTTGCCCCATTTTACAACCTTACTTGCCTCTGTTAAGTTTAGTAACTCGGTGATGAAATGAATGTAGCTTCCCCATCGACATTGCTTGTCAGAAAGTCATAAAAGGGGATCACATGACCTCAGGACATTGCAACCATCATAAATATGAGCCAGTTACAAAGCATCTGAATTTGAATCACGTTTGTGTGAAAAACGGTCATAAGTCCCTTTTTTTCAGGGCCGTTGTAACTTTGAATGGTTACTAAACAAATTGCTGTAGGTTGAGGACTGCTTGTATTGTATCCCTGTATTCTGAACAAAAGTTCTTAGAAGGCCATCAAAGCTGTGAATATTTCTGCCCTGGAAAAGGATGGAACAAAATTGATCTGGTTCCAAAGATTATCTTGTCACCCAGTATCACCTTCTTTAACAACTCTGTGATTAGTAGGCTTTGCAAACCTGAAAAATTAAAATTGACAAAAAGCAGGGTCTGTTAAATGAGTAAGTATAGAATGTGAACAATCTCCACAGGATCTTTATTGAACTATCCTACTAAAGCTTCAGAAAATCACAGTAGACACTTTTGTATTCTTCAGAACTTTTCATCAGTTAGAAGCTGAACCTTAGTTAGCCTGTTGTGCTCAAGAATTCTTTATATGCTGTTTGCCATGCTAGCAAAAGAATTCTAGTGACTGTAATTCTAATGTATCACCAAGATGATCATGCTGGATGTTGTAAAAAACAATAGGAAAAGGCTGGTGTTGAAACATTGCAAATTGCAGGGGTTACAGTTTCAAGAAGGAATGTGGGGAAGAGGTAGTACATACAAAGTAGAGATAATACATTCTTAGGCATGGTCCTATGTCTCTTCAATTGCTGAATTAAACAAGAGTTGACCCTCTACTTTTTAAATATAAAAATAGAATTCTTCGTAATATGTCATCCAAATACATACCTATTTGCAGGTGAAATGCATTGCTTTCTTAATTTACATTAAAGGGGAAAACAAACTAAATTGCTTTTAACCACAACAACTGTATTTACAAATCTAGCCAAAACAAACTACATCATGCTTTAAAAGACAGTTTTCCTTAGTTTTGATTTAGCAGTTGCATTTTCTAAAATGTGATTTGTGCCTTAATGTATTGTCTGAAGGCAGACTTTATATATTGAACTGGCAGGCAACTTACTATGGGTAAAAAACAGGGACAATAACTTTACCGTTGCAAAGTCAAATTAAAATTTTAAAAAAATATGTTAAACTGTCTTAATTATATATGCATGAGATTGTCATGGAAAAGAAACTGGGATAACATTTTCTAGGCTCTGTGGAGAAACTGTACACTACAACGTAACAAAACAAAATAGATTTTATTCAAATTAAGCATATTTGTTAGCACCTCAGGATAACCAGGAAAATAGAACAGTCCAACATAGGATAACCAGTTCAGCAGTCCAATCAACTGAACATGTTTTAGTGCATAATGATGGTAGAAAAGTACCACATTGGTCACAACACACACCTTCAAAACACTCTCAGCCAGCTAGAATGCACAGGCATTTATTTACAGAGAAAGAGAGAAAACCAATGTATTGCCCAAGATCCTAAAAGATTAATATGAGCAAAACATAAAGGGGTGTGCCCGAACCTGACCTAAATGCAACAATAGCAAAGGTATTCTGTATCAGAAATATAGGGCAGCACTGAAATCTGCTAGATTTGGTGTTAAATCCAAAATAATAGCACAAAATGGACATTGTTCTTGGAACCTCTACTCAAAAGGACTGGATAAGAGTTCTCAATGACTACAGCTGAGAGTTCGTACAACCCATTGAATGTAAATCCTAATTTCTACTGTCATATCCTACACAGTCATTTATACCAACTGCAGAAGAACGAAAGAACTGGGTGAATCTTATGACGTAGTATAATAGGGGGAAAGAATAATCACGTTGAACATATACTTTCATCATAGTATGTTTTCAAGCTTTAAAAATTAACTTTAATTGTGGATGAGTACAACATATATAACCAATATATACCACTGTGGTTCCTATTCATATTGACGCTGAAAAAAAAAATACTGTAACCAATTTTTTTTAAAAAAAATTGGACAGCTGGCCATTCTGTTCCTCATCAATGTCATCAAGTCACAACAGCTCCAACAAAAGAAACATTTAAGCCTGGAAATGCAAAAGTCAATGCGCTTATTAATAAGATGACGCAAAAAAGTCACAACTTAGAAAAAAAAATACCCTCACCTTATGTTTTACTGTTTCCTTCCTTTTAATTTAAACAAAAGTTTGGTGTCTCCTAAAGAGCCGAGAAAACAATGTATTTGAAATATATTCCAAAGAGAGGCACTACGTATCTACCATAGGTGGATGGATGCAAAAAAAATTAACATCATTTCTTGGCAAAAGTTAAGTCCTGCTTCCTCACACATCTTTTAAGACAAATGGCGACAGTTTTACAGAAATATAAGGTAACCACTGACTTCCCCAAATAAAGTTGTATCACACTACAACCAAACCACTAGTAAGCTACCTGATGTTATGATTAAAGATTATAAAAGTTGTAGTTTCAATGCATCTGGAGAATGTCAGGGTGAAAAAACTGCTTAGGACTTGAACTCTGCAGCCATTCCTCTCAAGCTCAGTTTTCAATGTATGTGCGTGGAATTTTTTTTCAAAATTTGAGGAAATATGGTGGATTCAGAAGTAAGAAAGTATGCATAATTTTGGGAGGTTAACCTCATTGCTCTTATGCTGAGGAGACTACACCCCAGAAAAATTTAAAGGAAGGCTACTGTCCTCACAGGTTTTCCAAAGGAAAAATATATTTGTTGAAAACTGAAACAAGCAATGTTTAAATGCCCAGAAGGGCATGGATTCGTGAAATGACAGGAAAGCTGCAATAACTTTGTCAGCTGAAAGAGGAATAGAACTAACTCCCAACGGCAATATGAAGATAACAAACATCCTCCTGATATCCTCGTTTAAATATTAAGGATTCGTTTTGACAATAAAAATGGCACACACTGCATCAAAAGGTTCTGGGCGGCAGGGGGAGAAGAAATGCCTACAATTCCCTTTCATAAAAAGGAAAGATAAATGCACTGATGGCTGTGATTTTTTAATATGACATTTCCCGCAGAATAATCCTGGTACAGCGCTGTGACACAGTGCACCCTGGCCATCTTCACTTACTCCAGTATGAACGATTACAACCCAGGTATGCCTGTCTAGAAAGTAACTGTTTCTTTCCCCCCAAATTAGCTTTGTACAACATGGGATCTGGCTGCAGGTGGCAGACGCTAACAGTCTAGCTTCATGAGGGCAATGCTAAAAAAGGGATTCGTTCCAACCGAGTCAGCATCATCCAGAGTACCACAGCAGCTACACCGACTTGCCACTACGCTCAGACCAGTGTTTAATGCGAGGAGTATAAGCCAGAATTCCAGGCCATCTTTTGAAAAGTATTGCAGCAAGAGTCTCTAGGTGGGATAAATGTTAAGGACACACGTTGAGGTCCCATGAATTACGCGTTGAGGTCCCATGAATTAAATCTGGTGGGCTTCGGAAGCAGAGAACCAGGGGCTCAAAACTGGTCACTCCCCCATGGCAGGGCAGAGCTGCCTAACATGTCATTCGGGCAGCTGCCTGGAGCTTTGTCTTGACAACCGCTTTCCCCACCCTGCAAGTCTTTTTGATGCAACATCCCACCCCACCCCTCCACTCCCCGTCAAGACCCCCGTGTCCAGGCATATTCGGGACCCGGCCGGCCGTGGTGCCTCAGAGGCCGTGGCGCTTGCGGGCCCCCCCAGCCATGCTGGCGGCATGGAGCAAACGGTCCTTCTCCCTGATCTCCTCCCGCAGCTGGGATTCAGCCAGGCGGAGTCGCCGGATGCTGCCCTTCATCTCCTTCATCTTGACTTCCAGCAGGGCGATGATGTCCCGCTGCTCGTTCAGCTTACGCAGCAGCTCCTCCGACGTGGTGCCCGAAGACAGCGAGTAGGAATGATCCGGAGGGCTGTCCACCAGTGGCCCGTTGTCAGCTAGGAACGCCAGGTGGACCGGGGACCCCACGAGGGCCCCGGGACCCCCGAGCTCCACCTGCACCGTCAGGTCCATAGGCTTGACATCCTCCCCGGGGAGACCGACGGGGCCCCCACTACCACCACCACCTCCTCCTCCTGCTGCTGCTGCTGCCCTGAGGAGGCCCTGGCCAGGCTGGGCGGCCGCCCCCTCTTGCAAAGTCAGGAGCATCGCGGCTTGTGCGGCGGCGGCGGCTTGAGCGGCGACGGCGGCTTGAGCGGCCGCCTGGGCAGCGGCTTGGGCGGCGGGGGCGTGCCGGGGTCTCCTGGCCCCGCGGGCCCCGCGGGCCCCTCGGGCTCCGCGGGGCCCTTTGCGCTCGTTGACCCCCCTCAAGGGGAAGATGGTGGGGACGCGCACCAGGTAGGACTTGCGCCCGCCGGGGAAGTGCTCGGAGCAGACGCGGTGGCCCGTGGTGGGCTGGAAAGTGCTGAAGCAGCCGCTGACGCCGGCGCGGGAGACGTTCTTCAGCCAAAGGCGGCGCAGCTCGGCGTCCTTCGGGAAGGTGTAGAAGTGGAGCGCCTTGTCCCGGTGCGAGTTGTTGTAGCAGCCTGGCACGCAGCACGTGAACCCGGGCATGGTCTGCGCGGTGTGCCTGCCTCCTCCTCCGCCTCCTCCTCCTTCCCCCGGCGGGCCCGAGGCGGCGGGACTACAGATCCCACAAGGCCTCCCGATTGCGAGTCCAAGAAGGCGGCGGCTGCAGCTCCTTCTCCGGGCGCCGACGCCACAGCAGCCTGCCCTCCCCGAGAGCGCCACAGGAAACGGAACTACCCGCCCCACAAAGCACCGCGGCGACGCCGGAACTCTCTTTCCCACCGGGCACCGCGGGCCAAGGGCTTGGAAAGCGCGGGTTTCTGCCAACCAGAGGGAGGGAGGGAGGGAGGGAAGGGGGCGGGGCAGGAGGGAAGATGGAACTACGCGTCCCAGGCGCCATCATGAGATGCCGCCTTCCCACAATCCCTCGGCTTTCATTGTGTCTTTTAATAAAGCTGCCGTTCTCAAGTCTGTCTGTCTGTTATTATTTTCATCCGCTCTACTTCCTCGGTTTCCCCCCCCCCTCTTGGAGGAGGTTCTGGAATGGTGGTTTATTTTCCTCACTTTGGACGTACAGTAATAATGCCTCAGTAAGGCTCGTCTAGGAAAGCGCGGGAACTCTGCCGACGAACGGCCTATGAATTGTGGAAACAAAAACAGAGGGGAAAAAAAACTACGCTTCCCACAATGCAACAGGCTCTCGGGTTCTAAGGCTTTCATAGACGCTCCGTTTGCCTCTTACTGCATGGAACTCGGTTTCCCAGACAGCGGCGTTCGTTTTCCTCGTTGCCACGGCAACTCTATTAGGCGCTGCCGCAGCATCTCTAAGCTTTGGCCGTGGTACTTTGAGGACCAGTTACTTGGCCTAGTCTTTAGTGGGATTCTCCCCACTTGAAGTCCACCCCACTTCCGAAGAATCAAATGAGTGCCAAGCAAATTCTTTTAACATTAAGACAATGTTGCTGCTGACATGCGTTGGCCTCTCAATATTGCTACATCACTTAGAAACAGTATCTGAGCTTCATTTTTGTGGATTTCTAAACTTCTAAATGAGAACAAAAAATACCTTTCAGAATTGTTTTATAAATATCACAACATCACTAGGAAGTAGCATGGACATCTTTCTTCTCCAATTAGATGTCCCAAAGGGACTCTTTTGCAAAAGGCAATTGGATTCTCTTGGGTTTTTCTTTGAAAACATTGCACTTCTCATCCAAGAAGCTTCTTCAGTTCAGAGCAAACTGAAGGCATAGCATGGCAAGACTTTTCTAATATTTTTAATATTGAGAAGACAGCTTTTCCAAGAAAAAGATTAATTTGCTTTTATTGCTTTTTATAATATTTAGTTTAATAACTTCACCAGATCTTCTGAATAGCATTACTATTCAATGTCTATAGAATCCTAGTGAGTTTTGTGTATGTGTCTTTGAGTCAGTATTGATTTCTGGTGATTGCCTAGACAGGTTTATGCAGCTTTTTTGACAAAATTTTGGAAGTGGCTTGCCATTGCGTTTCCTAGGGCTGAGAGATAGTACTTGGCCCAAGGTCACCCAACTAAAGGAGAGCCTGGTGATTAATCACTTCATCACACTGGCTCTCTAGCTAGCTTTAATGCCCTCTAAAAACCACTTCCATTACTACTTAATGATCTTAAATAATGATTATGTACAATAGTCATAAAATTCTCCCGTTATTATACAGTGGCCTTCTCCCCAGTGTTGAATATTTCTATATAGTAAGCATTTAATTAACTAGGTCTTAACTCAGGCATTAACCAGGTTTAGTGCAAAATCAGCAATATTATATGAATACACAATCATTAAAAAAACAATCAGATTGTATTTACAAGCATAATACTAAATATCTTCACTCAGCAAGATAATTCACTAAGTATGTAATTACTTTGCTCATTCCTCTATCAATTGCCAGCCATTTCAAATCAGTCTTGTTTTAAAGTTTTTTAAAAATTTAAAATCAAGAGTATAGATCCTGTATTTGATGGGAAAGCCTTCCAAAGGAAAGTTCCAGCAGAGAATGTTTGTCTTCAAGTTCTGTCACATCTTAGATTGCACACTGCTGACTTAAATAATGTAGAATAATTGCTGTTGCCTTTGATAGGGTTTCTATTAATGTTGGGCTAAATAATCAGAATCTGACTTAATAAACAATAAGCTCCCAGATCTCTAAAGTTTCTGGTCCATTACCAAGCCGTCCAGATTCCAAAGTGACATATTAAGCCACTATTTAGTTTGTTTTGAGTTTTAGCATATTATTATGTGAATCTAACCTCCCAAGTAGCTTTCCTCAAATATGCTGCCTTCAAAATAGGTTGGACTGGAATTCCCTAGCTAGCATAGCTATGTTTGGAACCGATAGAAGAGGTTATTCACTGTTGGAGTGTACAAAATTATTTGTCATGCTGGACAAGGATGCAGCTAGCAGCTGTAAAAGACAACTGGAACACCGAACTTTTTCAAGAGTGCACAGAAGAGGAAGTCACTGCAGGATGATTGGATGCTAAATTTCCCTCTTATTAAAAAAAAATGATGCAAGCCAGCTTTCTTTTTTTTTTCTTCCCCCGAGGTCTTCAAAAGACCCTTGTCCGCTTATCCCAGATGTGGGAGAACAATCCCACCCCCAACGTTGCCGGGCGGGCCCTACAAAGAACTCCATCTCCCACCGGCCAATGCGAGTCAGGGAGAGTTCTCGCGAGAGTTGCTCAGCGGCGGTGTCTGCTTGAATCCCGACGCGGCAGAGAACTTCGCAGAACGCCCGAGAGCTCGTCGTTGCTTCCTCGTAACGGTCTCGGCGGGCGGCGGGCGAACTATGGCCAGCCGGAGGAGCCTGCGAAGACAGCAGCCGGAGGAGGAACCGCAAAGGCGCAGGAGGTCATTGCGGTTGGCAAGGGAAAAGGTGCGGGGAGTAGGCGGCTTGGGCGGCGGCATTCCCTCCTTTCAGCATAGAAGCGATACTTCCTCGCCTAAGCAATCTCCTTTTTGTGTGCGCGTGTGTGTAGGACTCCAATTCCCATCCTCCCCAGCCCTCCTCCCTCTCCCACCTGGGTTGCCAGTGTGGTCCTGCTTGCGAGACCCGGATCCTCCAGAAGGATTATATTCTGCCCTGACTGTCTTTTCTTGGAAAAAATGAAGGTCCAGCCTGAAAAAAGGAGCAAATCTGGAAAAAACAACTTATAAGGATTTGGGGAAAAAAACACCCTTAGTTGTTTTTGTTTACAACTTTGCTTAACAAAAGAAAGTTCAGGAGCAAAAGCAAAAAATAAAAAAATCTTATGATAGGTTTTTGAAATAAAGGATTATCTTTTATAACAGAGGTCTCCAACCTTGGCAATTTGAAGACTTGTGGACTTCAACTCCCAGAATTCCTCAGCCAGCTCAACCAGCTTTCCTGGCTGAGGAACTCTGGGAGTTGAAGTATTCAAGTTGCCAAGGTGAGTCTTCTCCCACTTAATTCTGAAATGTGGGAATAAACCTCCCTATCCATCCCAACCAGATTGAAAACCTGAGGTTTTCCTATTTATGAACAACAGTTTCCTTGGATGTTTTCGGAGTAAAGACCGAGAACTGTTTTCCCCACCTTACTCCAGTGATTTTTTTCCCCTTGTACTTTCTTGAAAGACATTGTCAAGGAACAATAGCCCTAGGCATAATTGCTTCAGAGAGAACTCCAAAGCTTTCCTTTAGGGAAAATCACTTTCATAACGTACTAAAATAATAATGTGCAGCCATTATAGTCTTATTCAGCCTAATTTGATGTAATAAGCAGAATAAGACTTGATGTCCTTGCTTAATTGTATTTATGAATTCTGGTATTCAATTACTAGAGAGCAGTATTGCCACTTGTCTTTTACATTTGCAATTGCCTTTTGGGGCTGTTTTTATTTCAGACTGCACCCTTCAGTTATCAAAGATCTTTAGCTTATCAGGCACCTGCCAACTCTGCACAGTTGAATGTTGTGACACCTCGAACTGTTTTTAAGAAAGTCCTGCAGACACGTAAGTATGGTTGGGGGAGAGCAACATTTCAGGCCATGCTGAATTGGAGAATTACAGAATCACAGATAAAACAGTCATTGCTAATTACAGGCTACTCACATCAACAACAAAGACCCAGAAACATAACAACAAACATAGCAAAAAACTAAAAACTTCAGTAACAGTTTAAAAATGTGAAAGGGCAATCTGCATTTTGAATGTTCACCATCTTGATTTGCACAGAATTTATTAGCTACAATATCTTCCACATCCGAAGGATGGCTAGTAAATTCTTCCCAGCCCAAGGTCAGTTGTACCTTTGTGTTGTACCAAATGAGAGAAACAATCTAGGATACTGTTCCAAAGATACTTTTTCAAAAGGCAACTGGTCTTTTTTCTTGAAGTCATTTCACTCCTCATCCAAGAAACTTTTTCAGTTCTGACTCCCATTTCTTAGATGAGAAGCAAAATGTGATCAAGGAAAAAGAAAGTCCAGATGCCTTTTGAAAAAGCACCTTTGAGATAACCCTGACCTGGATGACTTGAGAATCTGCTTATAATACAGTCTAGGATACTATCCTTCCATCACTAAGTTCAGTGCATTTCTGAAACCAGTATGCTCAAGTAAATAGAACAATTTGCAACTTGAAGATTTAAAAATGAAATGTTCTTCAGAAAGTGAAAAAAGGAACTATAGTGAACTTCTTTGTTTTTAGGGCAGTGACATAGCTATGGTTTTGAAGCACTTTTGAATTCTGTTGCTGAATTCAGTTGCTGAAAACTGTTTGTTTTTTGACAGAGCCAATTGTTTCTCCTCTTGTTTCTGAGAAACCTGATTCTCCAAAACCAGTTGATACAATTTTCAATTTTCCTGTGAAGCTTGGTTCTTCCAGGTAAGTGGTTCCTTTGTGTTTTGAAGTTATTACAATAAAAGCTACAAATCTTCAGCTGTTTCAAATGTTCTGAGTCATACATTTAAAATCACAAAAACAGTGAAATCTTTGTTTTTCTGCAATGGGCATGGACCTTAAAAGCAGATATTTTGAAGCCCCAAACCAAGCCTTAAATAAAATTATATCTGTTTCTGTTGGGATCAGTCAAGAAATTGTTGATACTGAAGTGCATTCAAGCAAGGAATTAATAATTTCTTAATTTCTTAATTGTGTTATTAAATTAATTGTATTGATTAAATTGTATAAATATTGTGCTACTTTTAACGGTCTACATTTGTGAGTTCTGAGCACTTATATTGCTAAACTCTCATTAGATTTTTGTTCGTATGTATTGGGCATCCACTGCATGAAAAGATTCCTGAACCCTGCACTAAGATGCCTCTGTGAACATGCAAGCCTGTTCACACAAAATCACAAAGTTAAAATCAAATCACACCTTTATGCAGTATGTGGACTCACTTATTGGCAGTTATGTGCCATTCCGAATAATAACTGCTCATTTTAGTCCTCACTGAATAATCAATTTTCCATATTTCCTAACAAAAGGGAGTATTGCCATAGCTATGTCTCTGTCAGGGTTCCAAGTAATAATCCCATATTGAGCAAAAATCTGACGCAGGTGAATTCCTCAAATAGCTTTATTGGAAATATATTGGCACAGAGCCGGTGAAAACCAACTCTGAAGGTTCCCGTGGTTTTCACCTAATCAAAAGAGAAAGTTTTCCCACAACCCCAAACAATCAGTCACACAGTCCAACCAAGACACAGTCTAGTTGTCTGGTGACGTCACTCCTCCTTCCATGGTCCAGGTGTGAGAACATCCTTGGTTCCAAGAGAAAGTATTTTATTTTGGCTACACAAGCCCAGCTATCTCTAACCCCCTTTCCCTCTCCCTCAGCTCCAGTGTGGGAACACTGAAGCTCCAAGATGGCTCCGGTCAGGTCACTGTCAGGGTTGACAGCATTGGGTATTCAGCACTGATTAAAAATGGAATGGCTTTATTGATGTACAGTATACGTACTTGGAGTCTACCTACAATTGTTTAGGTTTTGGTTTAAGCACTATGAAGACTTGTCCTTCAGGAACAGTATTCTGCTAGCTCTCAAGACCTGTCTTGTTTAGCAGTCTAGAAATCAGCCTGTCCGACTCCATTCAGAGTCAGAAGCATAGGATTGCACGGCATACAACGAGATCGAAAAAGGTCCGTGTCTCTGAATTTGAAAGAAATCTGAATAACCAGCTGCACTCCAGCACATGTAAGTTTTGTTCTGACCAAGGCTTCTTGAGGCCGTAATTAAGCACATGGTTAGTTAAAACAACTCTTGATTTATTTCAGCGCTGGGAATTATGCTCCTTCCCTGCGCGTAATGAGTCCCAAACAGTCCCTCGAGATAAGCACCCACCTTTATCTTCTTTGAATTGCTGCCAACAACCAAAGTGCCAAATTAACCGTAAAAAAACAACTGAATTACAAAGTCCACACAGAGCTTCAAGGTTTAATCAGAACAGAGAGAACGACTTTGCTTCCTGCAAGGTTTTTTTACCTTTGCACTTCTTTATGCCCTTGGGGAGGGGCAATCACCTCCGAGCCTTACTCCCGAGTTGCCCCTTTTGTTTCAGCTGCTCTCCCCTTCTAGCAGCTCTGTGCACATGTGCACTGGGAACAGGCTCCCCGGGGTCCTCTGCCTCGCTGCTGCCAGACTGCAAAGGCTCCAGAGGCAGCACCTCACTCCCAGGTGGTCCTGGCCCCATCTCTGCATCGGATGCAGGACCCTCATCCAAGTCCTCTCCAGACCCCCTGACTGGTTCTCGTTCTTCCCCACTGTCTGATTCCGCTGCCATCTGCACAGGCTGCTGGCGAACCACAACAAGTTTGGCCTTTGTAGACTACTCTGACCAAATTTTGAATGCTTTTTAAAAAATTGTTTTGCTCCAAGAAATAAAGGATGTGGTTGGCTGTATGTGCTGACATGCTCTGAGTCCAGTTAAAGTATTAAGAAAATTACCTAAGGATTTGTTAGCCTGGATCACAGCACACTTCTTTATGGAGATCGGATAACGGTCAAAAGAGACAATAATGTCTATATTATGGCCAGTGAATGCATTACATAGAAGAGGACATGCCTAGCCTGTGAAATAGACTAAGTAGTGAACATGTTTATTACTGTACATTTTCTTGGAAATCATTGTTACTGCTGATTCCCATGTTTAATTTCTCTATGGAAAACTGTCAAGTGACACGCTGCAAGGACATTGCTCAGATTAAAGCAGATTCAAGCTATTCTCAAGTCCCCTGAAGCAGAACAGCGAAATGAAATTAACACGAATCCTGGGCATGGCAATAAATAGAATAAATTATTATTTGGACAGCGATATCCGTAACTTTTAATGACTAGCTCTGCTTATTCATTAATTAGCATTTACTGTAACTAGTAAGACTTCCACATATAAGCAGCCCATCTAATGTATCTTAAACTCTCTTTGCAGCTCAGGGTTTGCTGGACCATACATCTTCGTCAAAGTAAGTTACAATTCTGTTTTGTTTTGTTGTTGTACTCAAGCTGTTGTTTCTTCCTTTGCCTTCTAGATGCTTAGCAGATGGGGATGACATGTCAGGATGGCAGAAATCATGAAAATACTTGTTGTCATGCCCCTGTCAGAGTCTGAATCTGAGGAGGAAGCCAGACAGCTGACAGGGAGTAGGAGTGTGGCTCCGTTGGCTGGGGACGAGGCTGTGGAAGGGCAGAGTCTGGCTCGGCAGAGCAGGGGAGAGATAGAACAAGGGAGAGGGAGTTCACAGGAAGACACAGGCCCACCTCCTCTTCATCCTAAGGCACGCAGTGAGGAACTGAGAAGAGAGCAACTTGGGTTGCCTGGCTTATGGGGGAGGAAAGGGCCCTGATTCCCTTCATTAGCCACAGCTGGGAAGAGAGTTGATAAGAAAAGCAGGCTGCGTATGGCAGGCTGCTGGGAGCAATAGTGACTTTATCCTATGTTGTCTTTGCTTATCTGTGTTCCTGGCATCTTCCCAACCATGTGAGTTTTGCCGTGCCTTCAAGCCTGAAATTCTTGCTTCTGCCCTGCCAAACTATTTACTTCAGTTTGGTTTGTTTGGACTTTAAGTTACAGTTTGTGTTGCTCATGTTTTGGATTTAATTTTCTGCAACCAAAGGCTGTTCCTGGGAGAGTTTTTCTCCACCCAGAAGGTAACCTGGACATTGGGGGCAAAGTTGGAGATAATAAAGGGACTCCTTATTGCTTATCTGACTGTGTTGCTTTTGTGCCCTGCCCTGGGTCATCACACTTGTTCTCATGTGGTGGTGCCACAGTCTGTACAAAGAATGGAGAGTTTTAGGCCAATGTGCCACATTTCCACTTTCCCTATTCAAACAAAGCTTACATTTAGTATATTCTTACACTCTGGCAGGGTAGGAGCGGCTGGGCTACTGTGAAGCATTCGGCTTTCAAATGCTGAAAAGCAGCTGTACACCCAGATAATTTTGTTCCAGTAGTTTATGATTTACGTATTGACTATTACTTGCTATATTTCACACATGGATTCCATTTATATGTTGCCATCCTGCTCAACTAAACTTTTTACTGCTATCCTGCTGTCCTTTAAACACTCAAGGAAGTATTGGTAATAGCATTATACTGGCAAGTATGGGTAGTCCTCGACTTATGACCCAAAATCGAGCCCAACGTTTCTGTTGTTAAGTGAAGCATTTGCTAAGTGAGTTTTGCCTCATTTTATGACCTTTCTTGCCAGCGTTGTTAAGTGAACCACTGCAGTTTATAAGTTAGTAACCCAGTTGTTAAGCAAATCTGGCTTCCCCATTGACTTTGCTTGTCAGAAGGTCTCAAAGGGTCACAAATATGAACCAGTTGCCATCATGGGGATGCTGTAACGGTCATGTGTGAAACTTGGCCATAAGTCACATAAGCACACTTTTGGCACACAGCGTGGAAAAGGTTAGCCATCACTGCTTAAATGGTCTAGATCTGATCTGAGTCGTGGTGGCACAGTGGTTAGAATGCAGTAATTCTAAATTCTGCCGATTGCCAACAGTTCGATCCTGACCAGCTCAAGGTCGACTCAGCCTTCTATCCTTCCGAGGTCAGTAAAATGAGGAGCCAGACCGTTAGGGGCAATAGGCTGACTCTGTAAACGGCTAGGAGAGGGCTGTAAAAGTACTGTGAAGTGGCAGATAAGTCTTAAGTGCTATGGCTATATACTGTTCTGTTCTCAGGTCTCTTCAGATCTCCTTTACAACCCCAGCACCATTGAACTCTGCTGGGAAGAAAGGCTTGATCCGTAGGCCCAAAAGCTACCGAGCCGTTAATGTGAAGGATTTTGAAGGGGGCCTTGAACAAGACTTGTTGCAGATCAAAGATGGTGAGTCCAATTTGGGGCTTCCTGTTGTCCTGGTGTGCTTGTTAAGAGAGAACAACCCGGGAACTAAATGGTCAGAATGGGTTATGATCGGTTTGAAGCAAGGGTGGGATTCAAAGTTCTGTGGGTGTGGCTAGGTGGGTATGGCCATGTGACTGGGTGGGTGTGGCTTTTTCCTTTTGGGGGGCAGCCCCCCCTGGTTTTTGGGGGGTCTCAGAGAAGCATCCGGGGCGTCCAGTAAGACAGCGAGGGGGATTCCGGTGCAGCTAATCATCAGAAGAGCTGATGGTCGGGAGAGGGGGAAAAAAATAGAAATACCTTAAAGAATGACTGGGTGGGGGAGAATGGAGTCAGCGAGGTTGGGCATGTAAGTGATGTCATGCATGCGCGATAATGACTGACAGGGCAGGAAGGGGAGGGGCAGACGGAGAGGGGAGGGGCCATCCAGGGGCACAGTTTGCCGGTTCTCCAAACTGCGCAGAGTCATAACAACCGGTTCTGTAGAACTGATCCAAACTGGTGGAATCCCACCCCTGGTTTGGAGACGAAACCAACTGAACGTGGGGTTGGTGTCATGCAGCAAGAAGTGAAATCAGAGTCAGATTTCCATCTGAAGGGATAACTTTTCTTTCAATTGTTGCCAGCAGCAGAAAACAACCCCGAAGACCAGAAAACTACAACGCTCCAATCAAACAACACAGAGGCTCTTTCGACGGAGACAGAACTCTTCCTCCCACCTCATTCCAGGGAGGAGGATGAGACGGAGCCGTCTAATGTCCTACCGGAACCGGAACCGGATTTGGCAAGGCAATCTTTAGGTCGTAGGAGTGTGCCCTCCCTTCACCAAACACGGTTAGACGGACAGGAGGAAACATCTGGCATGGAAGTTGAAAAAGTGGCTGAAAGCAGCCCCCCCCAAATTTTGATGCCAGGAACCGAAAGTACCATTGAAGCAGAAACTGAATCCATGGAAAAGGAGGAGAGTTACCAAGAAAAGTGCCAAGAAAGCTCACAGGATGGAGGAAAAGAATCGAGGCCCAGTCTGGGAAAGGAGAAGTTAAGTCCAGGTCCCGAAGATGCCGGCAGCATAGAAAGCATTTCGCAGAAAAGAATAGTCACCCCTCAAAGGCAACAGCGAGCGCATTTTCATGGAAGCAGTCCTGATGAGGAACTCTTCATTCCCACAGAGTCTTTGAAGACTGGTATGTTTGTTGTTTAGTTTAGTGTATCAAACACCATCTTCGGTGCACATCATGACCATGAAAATAAACACAAACACACATCCTTCACCCACCATACATTGAACCCAAAACCCCAGACACAGCACCAACACTGCACTCACTATACAGTAGAATTCAAAAGAGCTCCTGCCCTGGGATAGAAGCTGTTTCTCAGCCTATTTGCCCTTGTTTTTATTATCCTGTACCGTCTGCCACATGGTAATAGTTCAAAAGAAAAGGGTGCCCAGATGAGATGGATCTTTGAGAATGTTTTGAAATTTCTTAAGGCAGCAGGAGCTATAAAGCTCTTCCAAAGAGGGGAGAGGGCAACGAATGATCTTCTGGGCAATGATGTTAACCCTCTGGAGTGCTGTCCTATCTGCCCCTGTGCAATTGGCAAACCGTACACAGGAGCAGTAAGTTAAGATACCCTCTATGGTGCAGCGGTAGAAGGTCACCAGCAGTTTTTCATTCAGTTGTTGTTTTCTGAGGAGTCTCAGGTCGTATAATCTCTGCTGGGCCCCTTTGACCAGGGCTGCAATGTGAGCACCCCAGGTCAGGTCCTCTTTTAGGGTAACACCCAGAAACTTAAAACTGGCCACTTACTCCACTCGGTCTCCATTGATAAGTTGTTGGGGCTTGAGGAACACCCCCACACACACACCAAAATGCGTTCGTAAATCAACTAGGCCAGGGATCCTGAACTCTCGGGCCGTGGCCTACTACTGGGTCTGGAGCCATTCGGAACTAGGCCGCAGTGGGCGCACACAACATCCCCACTTCCCTGGCCAGTGGGCAAGCAGATGCCCACGTGCTCCATTTGCGTTAGTGGCAGGCATGAGCGCCCACCATTTGTGCAAATGGAGTGTGCACTTAATGCCGCTTGCATGGAACCATCCCCTCTCCTCCCCCTTCCCTCCTTCCCCTCCCCCGTCAGCAAAGCCAGAAGGGTTGGGGAACTCTGATCTATAGTTGGCAGTTATTTTTCTCTCCACTTTGGTCGCTTGCTTCTAGAAGCTTCTGTCAGCGAAGCGTCTCAGTCATCCAGGTCATGGTCGTCCCAAGGGTGCTTTATTTAAAAGGTAGCTGGAGTTTGTTTTTTCCTTGAAGACGGTTTCGTTTCTCATTCAAGACGCTTCTTCAGTTCTCAGTCAGAACTGAAGAAGCTTCTTGGGTGAGAAGCGAAACGTCTTCAAGAAAAAAACAAACCCCAGCTGCCTTTTGAATAAAGCACCATCGGGACTTAGAAGCTTCTCTTGCCTCCCAAAATTGTTAAAATACTTTTCCTTGAGTGCATCCAGAATAAACTTAGACACTAGAGCAGAGGTCTACAAACTTGGCAACTTTGAGACTTGTGAACTTCAACTCCCAGAATTCTCCAGCCAGCATGGAGAGAATTCTGGGAGTTGAAGTCCACAAGTGTTAAAAGTTGCCAAGTTTGGGAAGGGGGGGGGGGGCTGCACTAGAGTAACCTTCAAAAATACCTTTCAGTATTTTTTTTTTAACATGTGTCTGAATATCTGTGACTGTTTCTTAATTTTGCCAATCTAGGCCTGGGCACAAGAAGGTCATCCACACCAATAGATGCTGAGCTCCCAAGAGCATCTCAAAGACATTTCTCAACTTGGCTGAGTAGAAAAATTGTCAGGCGTTCAGTGAATGAGATGGTGGCACTCATCACCAAGGAGCTGGATAACATTATCCCAGAACTTGCAGGACAGGATATGGCCAAGATTGACCCAGGGGAAGGAGCTTCCCTTCGTGAAATAAGTAAGTGGACACGGCTGATAGTTAGCCAATAGTTGTGTGGAAGCCTTTGCGAGAATTATGTGGAAAAGTGCTCTGAATGGAGGTCCGTTCAGGAAAAATTCCCTTGTTCAGGAAAAATTGCCTTGAAACATATCCTGCCTCCATATAATTGATTAGGCGCCTCCACTTAATCTTATCATGTATAAAACGCAGGCTCAGTTCCAGTGGTAGGATTCAAATTTTTTTTCTACTGGTTCTGTGGGTGTGGCTTGGTGGGCGGGGCAGGGGAAGGTTACTACAAAATCCCCATTCCCTCCTCACCCCACCCCACCAACCTACTTTCCAGCTCCGTTCTCCTGTGCAGGGCAACCAAGGAAGACCCAGCCAATCAGCTGGGACTCGGGAGGCGGAGACTAGGTGGGGGCGGGGCCAGTCAGAGGTGGCGTTTGCCGGTTCTCCCAACTACTCAAAATTTCCGCTACCGGTTCTCCAGAACTGGCCAGAACCTGCTGAATACCCACCTCTGCTCAGTTCCCCTCATCTCCAGTTAGAACAGGGGAAGGATCTTGTTTCAATCACAGATTAGCGACCCTCAGTCTCTGTAGATAAGATTGAATTTAGAGATCTGACTCCAGGCCTTGAACTAAGCTATATAATCATTTAGTTTTGGTTTAATGTACTTTTGTGAATCCAGTCTTTTTTTTTTTTTTGGTTTGGTGTGATTTCCAGAGCAACTCTTAAGTAAAGCTGCTGAAAATTGGCTTTGTTTTGTGACTTTGAGGATAGGAAATACCCCCAAATTTTCATCTAAGCCTTAAAATAAACATGGTTTTTTTTTTTTTAAAAAAAGAGCCTCACTCCAACACCTCCAAAAGCCTAGGAAATCTACCCTCTGGTATGCTTTTCATTATCTTCCCTAGGATACTAAAATCTGCCCAGCTCCTAGCTTGTGAGTTACTGCAACATGAAGCCAGACAGGTATAGTTTTATTGAAGTTAATGAAGCCATAACTCAGGAGAAATGAACAGCATCTGGCAATATCTCAATAACAGAATAACAGAGTTGGAAGGTACCTTGGAGGTCTTCTAGTCCATCCCACTGCCTAAGCAGGAAACCCTACACCACTTCAGACAAATGGTTGTCCAATCTCTTTTTAAAAACATTTCAGTGTTGGGGCATTGACAACTTCTGGAGGCAAGTCGTTCCACTGATTAATTGTTCTGTCTGTCAGGGAATTTCTCCTTTGTTCGAGGTTGCTTCTGTCCCTGTTTAGTTCCCACCCATTGCTTCCTGCCCTGCCTTGAGGTGCTTTGGAGAATAGCTTGACTTCCTCGTCTTTGTGGCAAAAATCCCTGAGATATTGGAAGCCTGCCTTTATGTCACCCTTACTCATCCTTTTCATTAAACTAGACATACCCAATTCCAGCAACCCTTCTTCATATGTTTCAGCCTCCAATCCCCTAACACCTGAAACAGGTGAGTTGCGCACAAAAGGTAAAGAGCGATAGTTCCTGGCTCTATTCTGCCAAATGGTACTTTGAGATGGACCTTTACGTATGAATGAAGAGGAAATGCGGAATGTTTGGGAAGGATCTCAAAAGCAGTAATAGACTCAGCGACACACGCCAGCAGCCTATGTTTTTAATGTGGATGAAATGTATGACCTTTCCCTTTTCTACCTGTTTTTCCTCTTTAGCTGTTGGTAGCCCTCAAAGTCCTAGAGTGGCAACTCCAAATAGACGC